CTGCTATAATTACTAGTCATACATTGGCTAGTATAAAGATGCAAGTGATTTCTCTAGAGTCTATTTTGTAAATTCTGTGATTTTCGCTGCTGATAACTAATGAATATTTTCAGATAATTCTCATTTTCCTTTTCCAATCTCACACTGCAACAGTATAGAGCTTACTAAAATACAAATCCATTTCTGAAAAGCAGCTCTTTAAAATTTAAGCACACCTACTAGTATAGACAGTGGACGCAGGCTCATTTTGAGGAAACTCTTCATAGCACTGTTCCCAGAACCATTTGCGCACAGGAACCCTCCATGCACAGACAGCAAATTAAGGGGGTGTCCTGCCCAGCAACAAAAAAAGAAAGAAAACACTCAAGCTCCCGCTGCATTTGCTGGGCTTTTTATTTCTCCTGATTGCTATTGCGACTGGGCAGTGAGGCAGCAAGGCAATAGCTGTTGATCCCTGCCGAGAATTCTCAGTCCAGGTTACTCCCCAACTGAGGTCTTTCATTACTTCTTTCTTTAGACTGCATGCCACGATGTTCTGGGTGTCAGGAGAGTCAGCAAGAGAGTGAGAGAGCACTCTTCTTCTCTATCGTCTTGACTCCTAATTGAGCTGCTTCCAGTATTTACCTTTTTGTATCTCCAGGGCTGTCTGGTTCTTCAGGCATTTCCAGTGTGAGTGGTGTGGGCAAACAGTCTTTGGTTTATTACAGAAGATTGTATTTATGACTTACTGAGTCATGCAGAAGCTACTGTTGTAACTATATTGTTAGATCATATGCAAAGCTCTTATTTGGAAAAAGTATGGGGGACCATCCTGGTGAGTTACCAAACAGGAAGGGGAAGTAGGTAAGGCATGTTTCACTATGCGATCTGATCTAGTAGGCTCTGAGCGTATGTGCAAATGACCACAGGACACACTAAGGGTTGTCTTTCATACCTGCTCTTCCGTGGTAACTGGCACTGGGTTATGATCAAGTAACTGCTGTGGTTCCATTTTACAACCTAGCAAATGAAAGGCTGACTTGTGTGCTGACAGAAAAAGATAATTTTTCCATGGAATTATTTATGGCAAGGGCTTTGCTCTATTTCAGTTTGGGGTCTGGTTAGCTCTTTTAGGGCAGTTAAGTCTGCTGTGAGTGTTGTGGATACTATTTTGCTTTGCCCATTCACAGTGGTTGCCTGAAGGTGGCATTCTTCTAGCTTATTATCTTGGGCTAGCTGCTTCTGTGAGGCCCAAGTCCTCAGGTCCGGTCTGACCTCTTTCCTTGTGCATGCAGCTTGCCATCCCCTTCTCCATCTGCCACTGACAGCATCAGGAGCTGACTTGCCGAAGCTCTTCTGTTCCTGTCTTTGGGATAAATCTCAGCAGACTCCAACCTTTCTGGTAAAAGAGGATTTCTCTCTGCCCTCCAGGGCAGAGCCTTCTGCTGGCCATGATCGCAGAGCGAGTTTCAGTAACAGGTTTTAGAGAGATCAACTATCACCACCATCTCCCATATGGCCTTTCCTCTTGGAAGCAGCACAGTTCTCCTGGATGAAAGATCATTTTAGATACTGTCCTGGGTGTGCCAAACTTCCAAATTTAACTACGTATCTTCATGCTGCCAGTCCAGACACATCTGGGTAATGCAACACTGTGTCTCAACATTCTGCCTTACCGAAGAGGATGCATTTCAAGGCAGTGTGCCGGGCTTTCATAACAAACTTTGGTGTATGCTACCACTACTCTTACAACTTGAGGGAGACATGATATTTGAGGTTTTGTAGGTGCTTTTGATTTGGGAAAGATATTAACTGGTAATGGGTGATGCTCAGCACAGCCTTGGCCAACAAGGCTGTGCAAGTCTTGTTTACACAAGGAGAATCAGTCAATCTGAGAGTCCTTTTGTGGTCACAGCCTTAGCACACTAACACTACAAGCTTAAAATTGTCTCCTCTGTAGGCTGTTCCTTACACAACTTTATTTAAAAACCATTACCCCTTGTCCTAACGCAGCTGGCCCTACTAAAAAGGTTTTCCCCCTCTTTCCTATAGGCCCCCTTTAGGTACTGAAAGGCCGCAATCAGGTCTCCCCGCAGCCTTCTTTTCTCTAGACTGAACAAGCCCAACTCTCAGTTCATCTCTGGGTCTTTGGTGTGTTTCTTCATAACACTCTCCCCTCTGCTCATGCTAAAACAAGTTCTTTCCAAGAAAGTGTCTGCTCAGTCATTCAAATTCTTAAGTAGCTGTAGTTTTGAATGGAGTACAGGCTTAACTCTCTCTTACAGCCCTTGCAAGTGAAGGATTGTGGCTGAACCTGCCAGTTTCAAGAAAAAGCAACCCTACCTGTAACATTCCTAGTAGACTAAATAAATTGCGAATTGCTGCAGGATATCCTCTGCAGTTCCACTTGGGCAACATGAGATTGCCAGACTCTGCCAGTTTCCTCACAAAAGTATCTCACGTATTAATAGTCCCTCTCATTCTCTCCTTGCTTGAATTTTTTCCTACATCTGCTGTATTGTCTGTGCATAACAACTCACAAGGACATAACAGTTAATCTATGAATACCACTTAGGGGAACGGCACATTCCTTCTACTGGAGGGGAACAAGCTCTGAGTGCTCAGAGGAAATGACTGCCAGGAGTTATATAAAATCAGAGTGGTAATGGAGGGGAGAAGGAGGGCAATCTTTGTGTCTTGAGTTGGCAGGCTGCGTGGAAAGCCACCCAGGTATCTTGAAGCACAGTCATCTCTTTTATAGCACTACAATCTGGCTGGCTGCGAGAACTTTCCCTTTTAAACCCTGTTTTAGGGCAGGCCCAAACACTATGTGATATGCAGTGTATAAAAGAGCAGCTCAAAATCAGTCTGAATGCTTATGTAAAGCATGGTAATGAACACCGATGCGGAAGAGAACATAGAAAATAGGAGGGTGCTTTGCAGGAAATGGGTTTTTCTTACCCTGTGGAGGAAATGCCAAGGCGCATAGAGAAAAAAGACACAGACACAAAATAAAATAAAAGGTTCTGACTGTCCTCATTTCAGTTACAGTTTTGCTGTGATGATGTAAAGCTAGTCTGCACGGGATCAACACCTGAAAAAAAGTACGCAGAGAGAAGAAAAAACAAATATAAACCAAAGGCAGAGAAAACACAAGGACTGAAAGGTATGCTGACTTGACCCGATTTGTAGTACATTCGATTCAACAAAAAAGCTCCTTTTGGTTTCAAACATTTTGGTCAAGGATTGGCTGCATTGATAATCAACGGCTTACCAACTGTTTCTGACTCAGCTAAGCGATCTCCAGCTGCAAGGAAATGCTGTGGGCAGAAAGTGCATTAGAAAATGTTTGGGTTTTTTAACTAGGAGAGGTTTGAATGCAGCTTTTTTAAAAAATCCCTGGAGGTACTCACCTTTCCAGTTCTGTTATGTGAAGTTTGTTTGATGCTGCTGTACTGTATAGGCACAGACTTCAACCACCCTGGTCAACTTCCCCGTCCCAGCTGCTCTCGCATTTGCTCATGAAGCTGCAGCAGCTCACTGCCTGACAAGCTCGTTCTGGCAGCTGCAGGGGGAAAAAAAAAAAAAGGAAAAAAAAAAAGTAATCGAGGAAGCTTTGTTTTTCCTCCAGGAACTCAGACGTTCATTCAGCCTGAGGTCTTGTGGAGCATTACTAGGCTTGGCTATTGCTCTTGGGCATAGCAGCCTGTTATATTGTGAATTGCAGCGTGGGGACCGTACCTTTTTTGGCATTTCACGGTGGAGATAGCGGCTGTGGAGCTGGGGCGGGAAGAGAACCCCAGCGCCTGCACAGAAAGCTTGCAGCTGCTTGAGGGATACAAATCCACTTTAAGCCGGTAAATGAAGCAGGAACCCTGTCGGCCTGATGGTGTTTGCAGGCGTTTTCGTGATTTTCTACAAAGATGGGCAGAGACGAAGAGACTAAACCTAAAGTGTCAAAATTTTGCTTAGCTTGCGTTATCTAAAATAGTACTTCGATCGTAGCTGAAGGTAGGCCTGCGTGGTATATGTATTTTTGTGTATTTTACATACGTAAATGTTACCCGCATTACCGAAGTTTACATGCCCCTTACATATACCCACGCAGCACCGCGCGGGAACGCGGGCAGGGGGGTGTCGGTGGGGGACTGCCCCTCCGGGGAACGGGGCTGCCGCCCCAG